CTAGTCGTGAGTAGATGTACATGAACTGGTCAAAAGGAGAACCCAGGGCTACACCATCTCTTGAAAGCTTGTGGAGAGCTCCTAGGTGCCACTCATCCCACATACTCCTATCTCCTTTAAATTTGTCAAGTTTTGGTAGCCTTTCTTGAGTATCTTTAGTCTGGGGCAAACCAATTGTTGCTGGTGTTGGCTCAAGGGTTGTGAGTTTTGACTGCCTTGCTTCTTTGAGAGCCTGAGTAGTAGAATTTGAATGCTGTTGGAGGTTATGTGTTGAGCAAAGTTATACTAATATGAATCTCTCTCAGAGTTTATTGAATTGATTGTCCCTCCCATGAGGAATCTATCTAGGTACTATATACATCTTGAGTATCCTACTAATTCCAAATATAGACTGAATATTAGATTGCCAATACAAACTGCTCAAATCTCTGTTCCATACATAGGTCTAAGATTGGCTGTTACATTATCATGGGCAATAGAAGGAGTGAAACAATAAGGGAGTTGTGCGTATGAAATTGGCCATCCGTCTAGTCGCTAATTGTCACATTTACATGACTAAGTTATTGCCCTTGATGCATCAGCCCAGTTTACTTGCTTGTAAACTACTCAACTTAAACATCATGAGACAACATTTAAACTTAGGGTAATCTGTTTGACATTATGTATTATCTTGCTCTGTTTTTTTCATTTCCTGACTTTGCTGCTCAAGCTGCTGCTGAAGTTGCTTTAAAAAATCCAAAAGTTGTACATCCTTAGAGTCTTCTCCTGTGCTATCCATAGGGGATGACATAGTTGCCAGTCTAGAATGAAATAATAATTGGTAGACAAAAAAAAGGTAGCAGCCACAAAAGGGGATAAGTGATACAATTAATCAAACACCAAAAATACTTTGTGAGAGATCCAGTATAACAATACAACAACAGATAGGGGTAGATTTGGAAAGATATAGACTGTGCTTTATGTAGATTAAGATTATAAAAACAATGAGTTATAAGTTATAATGATGCATAAAAGAAAATAACTATAATGTTATCACTAAATATGCTAATAATGTTAATGACTTTATAGTTAGTAGTACTATTATTATATAGTCAAAGAACTTAGGGATACTTAACATTAATCACTGAGGACAATAGCTTGATGTTATATCAATGTCAATGAATTTGAATGAAAGGTGAGTTGAAGATGATGTAAGGGCTAGAAGTAGAATTGTATCTGAATTGTACTGTGTGCTGTGTATAGAAGATCTTAAACTAAAGAAAGAAGATGGAAGAGGAAAAGTCTTCCTTATATACATTGAAAGGTGGTCTGTGCTGTTACCAGACTATACCAAGCGGCCGCAGCACCCCCCGAACGTGCTGTGTACGCCAAAAATCCCAATCAGTTCTTAGAGCCGCTAAATAGGAATATCAAGCACAGCTAGTCGAAAAATCGACCATGCCAAACGAGGTTTTAAGCTTTATGAGAAAGGCTAGTCCTGGACAGTCAAATATTCCCCCACTTCTTAACCACAACAGAGTTCTCATCTCTGACCTGCTAGAGCGAGCCACAGCTCTCCGTGACTCTCTCTGTCACGAGACTAAGGGCTAGCGTCATAAGCTAGAACATATGTATAGATATCCCTTGTATTTAGACTACTCTTCTCTTACTATTGCTCAACATAGTTATATTCTCTTTCCTTTAGTACCTGACCCGTGAGCCACCGTGACATTTTGTGCGATCTCAATTGTGTCCCGTCGCATTTGGATCCCGACATAATAGAAAAATTAACTACCTTATTCTGACTCCTGCCTGTGACCTGACATAAAACCTGAAGTAAATCCCAGCTACCACCCCATAGAGTTTCTCAATAAATAAATAAAAAAATTGTAATTATTACAAACATGGAATCCGACCCCAGAGCCACTGAAATTATCATTGCTTTTCAGAAGAGCTGGCCGAACTTGAGCGCAGCAATTGAAGGGAATCAGTTCCCAAATGGTTCGAATCCAGCTTCTCTGCTGAGCTTGATTGATTCAACCACTAACACATCCGAAACTATTTTATTTTGTAGTTTGCTTCAATGTTTTGATTTAAAAATTGGTGAAATCAAAAATACACATATGACTGAAATTATCTCCTTGAATTCAACTATATCTAATTTAAATTTAGCACGCTCTTTAGACAACAACAAGATGTCAAATTTAAATGATAAAATTTCAAGCTTACAGTCTGAAATAAATAAACTACAGCTTGATGCCATTCTCAGCATGAAACCCTCAAACATTGATTCTACAGACACAATATTACGCCGGACTAGATCCAATCCAGAAAAATTTTCTGCTGCACAAACAAGTACTGAAAAACGACAAACTCTATATGAGAGTTGGAAAATACAGATCCAACAAGTGTTGATTGTGGATGGTAGTTGCTTTCCTGGAAATTTCAATTGTTTATTGTATATAACCAGCCAACTCTCAGGGAAAGCATGGGAGGCTATTAAAGACGGTGTTCAGAAAATGAATTCATACCCAAATGATTCAGAGAAGTGGCATTGGAGAACGCAAACAGACTTATGGCAAGTCCTTGATAGGAGATAAATTCTACTTAATAATACCCAGATGGCAAAGAATGCCTTAGACACATTTTACCAAGACAAATGTGCCTCTTTAGATTTTAAGGCCGACTTTGCTCATTTTATGGAAAGGGCAAAATACGATGACCAAACCAAAGTAGACCTCCTTAGAAAACAACTTAATCGAAAGATTACTAGTGTTATTAACAACCAAGTAAATCTTCCTGATTCAGACAATTATACTGGGTGGAGTGATATGATCAATAATATTGCTCGCAATATCAAACAACAGGAGCACATCCTCATGTTGTAATCTTCATCTAACTCAATGCAACAGAATTACCACCCAACAGACAATTTGTTACCTCATGCTGGACCATCCGATTCTGAAGATTCAATGGACCTCAGCCAAATTTCAATATCAAGTGCTGAGCGTAAATTTCGAATGGAAAACGGCTTATGTCTTGCTTGTGGTCAAACTGGACATATGGCCAAAGATCATCATCGCAAAATTGATCCAGTAGCAATGCCAAAACTTTCTACTAATCAATAGACATCTGTTGTGCTTTCGCTTGTCAATGACCGGCTCTGCGCCGACAGGTACATATGCACATTGTGCGTTGACCATGGATACAACCGCTGCCACTCCTGAGTCTCGGACTTGGGAGCGCCGGGTTGAGTTATTGCAAGGCAAAAATTGGGGTAGCGACGTGAAGAGTCTACTGACCACGTGCGCTAGCCATAAGCGGTTAGACATTGCCGGACAATTACGGAATAGCGCCCTGAGGTATATGCAGACCTCGCACGCTACCGGAACCATACAACTGCCCCTGCTCCTGAGTAGTGGACTCATGAGTGCCGGGCTGATTGATCGCAGGGCAATGATTTGGGCAGCGTCGTGATGAGTCTATTGATCACACACGCTTGCCGTAAGCAGTTAGGTATTGCCGGGCAATTACGGGATAGCGCTCAGAGGTACATGCAGACCTAGCGCACTATCGGAACTATACAACTGCTTCCGCTCCTGAGTAATGGACTAAGGACTGTGGAGCTGAGACATTGTATGGGAACGATTGGAGCGACGCTGTGGTGTGTATACAAGCCACAGGCGCGAACCATGGGCTAGATTGCTATTGTTCCTGAACAGCTAGGTTCAGGATTGCTCAGCTGGGACATTACACGTAAGTGATTGAGGCATTGCAGCGACGCGTACTCGGACCGCGCGCGCCAGCCACCGGAACAGCAGATGCCTCTCATGAGAGATGGACTCATGAGCTGCAGAGTTTTACCCAGGCACGCTGTTGGCAGCAAGTCAGGAGAGAGAGCGTAGACAATGACAAGGGTCATATTAGAGAATATAACTAGTCTATGTTCTGTCTCATGAATAGCATCGGAAAAGTATTGGACACCTGCCAGCAATCAAGTTACCAAGTATCAAACCATCTGAACAAACATCGTGACAAATTCCAAGTAACTATGTTCCCAATTAACTCATAACCTTAACAACAAATCGTGAGAGGAATGAATATAAACAATTCCCTGCATTTAATACTCATGATCTACCCACCACCAAATATTTAACACCAGAAATTCAGCCCTTGCTGATTCCAATGATGTATTATCTTCCGCCTCAATTTCTCCCCAAATACCATCATCAGTCACCAAACCAACTCTCAAACTCACAGCTTTTATACCCCAACGCTCCTGTTCAATCTCGTCTGAGAGTGTTAAATGGAAACCACGGATTTGAAGAATACTGTCAATCTCAGAATTCAGGGGATATAAAACAAGCTTACAGAAATTGTGAACAGTTAAAAGACCAGCCTCTAGCTTAAGTCGCTGCCAGGGATACAATTGGTATGGAGATAAAGATAAGGCTATCCAAGATATATTGATGGATAATTCCACTTTGGAATTATGCTCAACTGGCTCCTCAAATTCAATGCTTCTTTGCTCTTCTCTCTCTAACCCGCGCACAAATAATTCAGTTATGTTTCCCACAACATGCTTGATTGATAGTGGTTGCACTGCTATGGAAATTGCTGACAAAGATTCTATTGTTAATTGTTTTGGAATAGAAACAAAGCCCCTCTATACTCCACGATCTATTTGCTTGGCCAATGGCTCTACAGAAGCCTCTATAACTGTTAAGATTATGAGTTATATGGGAGCATAGTTACTTGTCACTTGTTATGTCTGATTGGAGTATGTAGAGGATATGTTTGACAGATTTTGATACTGTCAGAAGTATGAATATATGCTATCTTATATACATCTGTATGACCCATGTCATAGTCTTATTTCCATCTTGTGATTAACTATCTATAGTAATCACATTATCAATCCAACGCTCATGAATCCACGGTTCATGAGCGGCCATCACTGCTCCTGCGGCTCTCGTATATCCTCCGCTTGCCAGTCGCATCACTGCTCCTATAATCGCAGCTCAGTACCCTAGTTGAGCGCCCCTGAATAGCTGATCCAGGGGCGACTGTACTGGTTTCCTATAGTGACACTCGAGATACACCTGTACACTCGATGCTGTTGCATATACGCTAAGTGGTACCCGACCCCTTGCGGCTAGCATTTATATTCCAGGGGCTTATGGTGGTGCTACCCCGATCGCTTCCATGTATAGTTTTTACCTGGGCGCTCCCGCGCTCGAAGCTTGGTGGCGAGCAGTAGATGTGCATGTTGCAGTGCTAGGCGTGGGTTTACACCTTCGGTACCGTGACCGTTATTTGTCGGTACTGTCTCAACAATAACCCACTACTTTACATTCCATTTGCATATTGAGCAACACTCGGAGATTATTGTCTTTTTTGTTGCTAACCTAAGTAGATGTAATCCTATTAAAAACTTAGTCCTTGTATTGTGTAATGATCACTTTAAGGAGTTCTAATATAAAATATGGAAGGTAGACTTGTCTATGAAATCAACTCGTTGGAGGTATAAAATCATTATCCATAAAAACGGATCCAACACTCGAGATTTACATCTTGAGTGAGGGTCCGTGCACGCTAACAAAACAGCCCAATAACCACGTGATAAACAAGCTAATTGTACAGGGTATCCTGCTCTCCGGCTCTCCTAACTCCTGGCTAATGATGAAAACTCAGACCCATAATAAGGGTCATGAGGATCCTGGAATTGCAATGCATTAGACTTATTTCTCAACAAATCCCATAATTCTTGGCCTGCCATGGCTAAAATTACACAACCCTAAATGTGATTGGAGCTCCTTGAGCCTCACTTTTAGTTCCTTGTATTGCTGACACCACTGCCTTGATTGGAAGCACCTACAGTCCAATCTGTCTCAGCAAGTAAGATCGGTTACAGCAATCTCATTGTCAGATAAGATTTTGTCAATGCCTGTTACACACAAGCCACTTCAAACTGCTGCACCAGATAATTATGAAAATGAATCTTTCCTTCCAAATTCCAACAACCCTGATACACTAACATATGAAAAAGAAACGACCTCTACTACCTGCAAGGATGAAAATGAATTAGATATCTTTCAAATTTTCCCTAGCCCTGATCATCCTGATATCTCAGATCTTTTACGTCGAAAAGTGATACAGAGTGATATTGACAAATTTCTCCAGGATAAACCTGAATTAAAAACCGATGCAATAAAAGCTATATTACCACTCGAAATCCATCATCACACCAAACACTTCCTACCAAAGAGTGCGAACTCTCTCCCACCACATCGTCCTTGGGACCATAATATTGAACTTGTCCCTGGAAAACAAGCACCCTATTGTAAAAATAGGCCCTTCTCTCCAGCAGAGTTGAATTGAGTCAAGAAATGGATCGACAATATGCCAGATAAAGGTTTCATACGTGAATCTTCCTCGACAGTTGCTGCGCCTATCTTCCTCGCCACCAAACCAGCTGGGGGAATGTCACGGTTCGAGTGTTGATGCTGGAGCAATCAGATATATAAAGGTAGTGTCACGGACGAGGATGAAGACTAGGACGGAGACGAAGACGAAGACGAAGACGAAGACGAAGACGAAGACGAAGACGAAGACGAAGACGAAGACGAAGACGAAGACAGAGGCTGATAATGAGGACGAGATATTTAGATTAATAATTAGATTCTAAAACATGAATAATTTACAAGACAAAAAGCTACAGTACACATCCAGTCCTAGAGCTTCCTTAAGTACACGAGCTTCAATACTATAACCAAGGGTGTAGTAGTTTACAGCCATAACACAGTAACTAACTAGTACTCTAAATGGCAACTGTTGCTATCACAACACTGTAACCATTACAATACCTAAATTGTGTTATTGTATGCACGTCATAACTCGGTTGCCTGGGTGCGACACGACATCCCAGTGATGGTTTGTGACAGGTAGTTTATAATTTTCTCTATAGCTAACTATCAGAGTATTACTTCAACTATTTATACATTTATGAAGATCTCTAGAATACTTGTTCTTGACTGATATCTACTTCTCGTATATTCCAGTCATAGTAGTTCCCAGTCTTGCTACTAATTACTGTAATATTCCGGTTACAGCTGAACTGATCTGGAATAAAACTAGACTACTGTAGAATTATAGAAGCACGTGAATACAATCATGTGCCACACAACAATCAGCTCACAAGCCGTTACAGGGAATACAAATATGCCAAGACTATTGCGGCCTTAATGATGTTACCATTATAAATTGATATTTGCTCCCCCTAATCTGTGAGATTTTAGATTCAATTTCAAGAGCTAGATATTATACAAAGCTAGATGTCATTGCTGCTTTTAATTGTATCTGTATTGCCGAAGGAAATGAACGGATGACTGCATTTACTACACAATTTGGCTTATATGAGATACTAGTAACACCATTTGGTCTGTGCAATGCCCCTGCAACTTTTCAGAACTACATCAATCATATCTTACATGATACAATCAACAAATACTGTACAGCATATTGGGATGATGTTTTAATATACTCAGAGACCAAGGAAGAAAATATAAAACACGTTGATTATGTAATACATCAACTCAGTGATGCAGGATTACAAATTGATATCAATAAATCAGAGTTCTATACCACAAAAACCAAGTATCTTGGGATAATTATCTCCACTGATGGACTAAGTATGGATCCTAATAAAGTTAAAGTAATTCTAAATTGGGAATGTCACGGTGGGTTACGGGTTAGGTTCTGGTGGTTTAATAATATAACTGCGTTGTGCAATAGTAAGGGAAGATTATCTACAGGACGGGTCTATACTAATATCTGTGACAGAAACCAAGTTGGTGATGAATAAATCAATTTAATAAACTATATGAGGAGAAAAGCTAACTCTAGCTACTACTAACAGGTATTTATAGGAGTTAATCCTCCTCGTGAATCTACAGACTAGTGACTTGTCCTCAGGCTCAATACTTCTACCCAGCCACGTATTTCCAGGTGTCACTAAGTTGTAATGACGCTTCAGCCTCCTGAGTAGTAGTGCCGTTTTGTTCAGCTTCATCTCCACCCCCATACAGCCTCATTGTAAGGATTCTTAGTATCAGGCTTAGGTATCCACCTAAGCTCAAACAACAGTCAAACTGTAACAATATCCTAGTGTACGGCGCTAGCTCTTAGTCCCGTGACAGTACTCCCACTCTATGATGCGTTTGGTCTCCAAACTGCATGCTTCCATTGTCAGGAATGCCTACTTTATAGTCTATATATGTGGAGATAACTAGTTTTTAGTATTTTATGATTCTGGTCTGGCCTTTTTGTGGAAACTCGAGGGACAAAAGACGATTGGCGAGTGCTCAAAAGCTGGTGTGGACTCAAATCATAAGATTCTAAACTAAAGAGAAAAGTATCTAGGAGGATATGAATCTGTATATATTTACATAAGAGTTCAACTGTTGAAATAGAGTTGCCAACACGAAACCTCCTGTCCCTCATTGCCTACAACCCAAGGGTTTCGCATGAAAACCAATATCCATGACAAAACTTTTGTATCATGATTTGTCACACACAAGACTCATGTGTGTGAAACTAGTTGTTGGAATTCCTGGATTGACCCTGTGTCGGCTTACCAACTATTGAACCAACGACCACGTGGCCACTAAAATGTCGGGGCGTCACACTTTTGGCCGAGTGCTTATGCACCTATCTCATGCATAATGTGGGATGGCAACCTCTTGCCTGGCATTCTTGTCTTGATCCTTGTCTCTGCTCTGACGTCTCAATGCCGCTCCTGACATCCATCTGTAAATTAGTATAACCTCAATATAAGCTTTTGTTATATTCTCGTTTCAATCAGTTTCCATGTGGGCCGCCTTTTCCTTCCTGAACGGCGTGGCTGTTGTGGTAAAATCGATTTATTTGCTGGTGGTATGTTTGCCCATATAGGTGGGCCTGGCTTGTGGGGGTTCGAGTTATGAAAATCCTTCAGTGCTTTCTTGCAGCCTCGTAGGTCAGATTCTGGCTGCCAAGATGGCACATCATCATATTTCCACTTAATAAGGTAAGTTAAGCCATTTTTATCTAGATCTTCATCATGTACGTCCAAGATTTTTTCGAAAACCCATTTATCTTTGATGTTACTGTTGTCGCCTCTTTCGGCAACTCGCCCGGCTACAGGACGACGTTCCACTTCATTGATGGACAATTGGTGTAACGGCTGCTAAGCCTAAGAATTCTTGTAGCCTACACTGGCTAGAGCAGGCAATGACATCAAGGGAATCTCCGGGGATCTTCGGGAAGGATCTCGGGATACACGGAGCTTAGAATATTCTTAATGAACCTTCTGGAAGTATATGGAAGTTTCATGAGGATGACAGACATATTGAGAGTCTTCTAGGTAATTTTCGAAGATTCCATATTATTCTAGTCATAGAGGGAACCTTATAGCAGAGGAGTATCTCAAAGTGTATATATATTTGTAGTCTAGCTATAAGAATTCTCTCTCTAGAGAATTATAATTAATATACTGTACCTACAAGATCGCCCAAGCATGTTGTACTGAAACCGTGACAATTGGTTTAGAATTATTGGGTCTATCCATGGTTGGATTAATGAAGTATGAAAACTATTGTTCACCTGGATATGATCTGGAAGCTCAACAACAACTGATCCATTGTATTTTTTCAAAATCTTATACGGGCCGTCCCATTTATCATCCCATTTCTTCTTTGGACAATTGGTTTTGAGATTCTTTAAACAAATCATAACTTTATTGACTGATTTATACATTGGGGCTTCCGATCTTCGAGAGTTTGCATTCTCTTCATATCTTTCTTGCAATTGAAAAGTAAGAGCTTTGAGCTTTGTTAGGATGCGATCGAAACAATTGGCAAGGCAATCTGTTTTAAAATATTCCTTTTTTGCAACGTCTGAGAGGTTAGGTGGCTCTAGATCTGGCAGCTCTACCCCTATTTGGGGGTTACAGCCATAATTTGCGAAGAAAGGGGATACACCTGTTGTTTCACTTATCTGATTATTTTGTGAAAATTCAGCAAGTGGAAGCCAGTCAGCCCAATCATCCTGGGTGAAACTAACAAATGCTCAAAGGTATTTATTCAAAGTAGAATTTACTATTCCTGTTTGCCCTTCGGTTTGC